GCAGGACACATTTTTCTCACTGGTGTAAGCAAAATATGCAGTTCTCAAAATTCTTCAAAGACAGGGAAGCATTATGAAAACAGTAATACACCTGAAATAACAACAGTGCAGGTAACTGAGGTCCCAGAACAACAAAACTGACATGAAATTAAGATTAAGGTGTAAATCCATGTGAATAGACTGCATTGTCATAAGTCTTTCTGTGAAACCTCAGAAATGTGCTTACTCCCAACAGCAGATGAACTCAGTAGTGACAAAGAAACAGTGAAAGAGCATTTTTTATGACACAAAAGCCCCAGGACAATACTAACAAGGCAGGCTGTAACTGATGAAAGTCAGCCTACTACAACAGCTATCGTTTAGACTTTGATGTGCTTTCCTGGTGGGTGTGGTATGGAGTACTTCACCTTACACTTAAAACCAGACTAACAATGGAAAACCCAGCAGTTTCCTTACATGCTGCAAAGAGAAAACAGGCGTTAATGACAGCTTTCTGCCAAAACTGGGAAAATACTTACAGCACTGCAGACTGTTTCTCTACTCCTCTTCCCACGGTGAAGGAGTGCTCTGCCCCCACCCACAAGGACTCAGGAAAGTAAATACTGTCAGTCACCTCAGCCACACACAGCTAAGCTCCACCCTCTCCTCAAATCCGATCACAGTAATAACAAAAACACTTGAACACAGTAGGACGCAGAAGACGAGGAAACAGGCAAGAAAGTTCAGTGTAAGAATTCCTTCTACCTTGTCAATCTTTGTAGAAAAATCCTTCTCTTTACCGAGATTCTTTCTTACTCCAAAAACTCTTAAATGCAGCATGCAGAAAGAAACAGCATCACACGCAACACGTGGCTTTGCAAACAAACCTCTTCCAGTATCAGCTCAGACATTCGTCTGCAGTGCTGCCCCAGCTCTCAGCAACCAGAGAGAGGGCAAAGGAGCAGCTTTCATTAAACAAAATTCTCTCAGTGAGTGAGGCTTCCTTTATCATTTCCTTAAGCACAGGAGCCCTCAACTTTGGCAGTTGGATAAAACCTACCCTGGAGTCAGTCTGTGCAGCTGGACATCCCACGTGGAATAACCAAGACATTTCCCAAGTCCCTAAACAATAAGCATTAGGTAAGGCAGGAGCAGTAAAATCGTTCAGAAAGCAGGAAAAGATGGTAAAGAGATACTCACCCACACATTCATAAGGAAAGGCTGGAGCTCAATAACAATGTCACAAACACAAGCACTGTGAAATTACACACACTTATTTTGGCATTTGGTCTGTACATACTGCTTTGGAGTAGGGCTATTGTGAGACAGCTGCAGGTTTACACTCATGGAAAGAGAAGACTTTGCCTGTCCTGGCTCTAGTTTTGGGGATCACATCACTTTTGCACAGTATCCATGATCTGCTGTGGATTTTCAAAACATGTTCAGGCTGCCATGTAGCACCTCCACCAAGAAGTTCAAGACACTTTTTCAAAGCAATACTTGTATAAAGACTGCTGACACAAATATCTAGCTGAGGTGTGAGGAAGGTGCTTGTGCTACACACAGTTATGTCTGTCAAATCTACATCTAATTATAGATAGGTCCACATTCTTAAACACCATCTGCAGGATCAGCTTCTGTATTTTTCCAAGCTTTAAAAGACATCATTAAAGGATGTTGTTTAAAGCATCCAAAAAATGCGTAACAAGGTGAACTTTACTAGACATACCTTCTCCCTTTAAGTTGGAAAAAACCCCACAGAACTCCTTAAAATAATTAAAAAAATTGATTTCCTGAGCTGCCTTCTCCTGCTTGATTGTACAGCTCTAGTATAAAATGAAGATGTATGGCATGTGCCATGATATGCATATGACATGATATGTGGCATGTGACATTTATGTGACAGGCATCTGACATGTGTACATATGAAGTCTGAGACGTGGTGTGACACAATCCAATGCATGACAACATTATTCAGTAGATTAGTCCTGCTTCAAGCAGAGACAAAACCACATCTGTGGGGTTGCTTTTGCCCCAAAACCCAGGGACAGATTGGGGGAGGTAATTGCAGAGAGATGGGGAAACACAATTTGTACCTGAATGGGATTTGATTTCTGGGTGAGAGCAGTCTATAAGGTTGAACTGTGCAATACTGTTTGTATTGTGTGTAAATCTAGGATGGATAGAACCCAAATGATGGACTAAATTAACACAACTGGCACCTTGGAGGGAGAGCCACTGACTATGGAAATGGGACCTGTGTTCATATATAAGAAGGATGAATAATGTTCTGGTTCCACCCAAGATACAGCTAAGTTTCTGCAGTATCCAGGAGAGGGCAGAGCTAAGATACAGAGGTCGTTCTATATCACCTTACATCATTACCAGGGATGGAGGAAAGGGATCCTCTTCCAGGGAGGAGTTCCTTCTGGTTCAGAAAATGGTGGAGGGTGCTGTCCACTACTGTCTATCAATTATTGGGGTTTTTTCCCCCATGTGAACCACTGTTGTTTCCAATAAATTGTTCTTATCTCAACTCCATGGCTTTTGCCTTTCTGCTTCAAATTTTCCTCTCCATCGCACTGCAAAAGGGAGCTGAAGGGAGAAACAGGGAAGTAGAGAGACCAGAATGCGGTTTGGAGAGTCTCAGTGGGGGCACAGAATTGGGAAATAGCTTTTCTAATGGTCGCTGTGTGTCACTCCACCTGTGTGAGTCAGGTAGAGCTCCAGGAAGTGGAAAGAACAGCCCCACACACCACCCATATCCATATGTACATCCATTCTTCCCCCTGGAGCCGAGTTCTTCTCAAGCAGGGAGGGGACAGGCTGAGCTCAGCCCACAGGCTGCTGCTGGTGCTCATCTGCCTCTGTCTGCTCTGTGCCACATCTGTAGGATGCACACCTGCTCCATGTGCATGGACCTGCTGGGAATACAGCTTCAGCCTCAGCACTGGAATGGCAGCTCTCTTGCCTCTCTCAAGCTTGTAGGATTATAGGTTTTGGGATTACTGACGTAGCCAAGGAGAAATGTAGACACAGCATCTCCATGCTTGCCCATTTACTAGCTTAATGCATGCTGCAGATGCCAATACTTAATCAAAGAACAATCCAGATAAAAGAAGTGGACCTACACTGGTGCCATCAACTTACTGCTCAAGGACACAGCGATCACGTCCAGCCAGACACATCCTTCTCACTAACAAACCTCTCGCTTCTTAAGGCAGAGTCTAAGTTCCATGAATTTCAGTTGGCTGTTGAATCAATAAAATGGCTGAAGCACACAGAAAAAGCTCAGTATTCGAAAATATTTAAGGCTTCTGGGTCAACTACAGGAAACACCTTGGTGCCGATATCTCAGCAGAAGACTAAGTCCACACAAAACACACAATCCCAAAGTGCATGGAGTGCAAACACGTGTGGTATGCAATGTGTACGTCAGATTTGGCAGGTGTATCATTTCCCAGCATCTGTGTGTATGCAGGCAAGGCTAACACATTGTCAAGGACCTTTATTGAACTTTTAACACCCCTGCAAAAGGGCAACACTGTGCTCCAGCCTGGAATACAATAGCCATTATCGAGCATTCTTAGAAAACATTACATGGAACAAGCAGTCTGTGGAACATGTGCCACAATAAACCAAACACCACCACACAACCCCACAAAGTTAAGGGACAGTAACAGAAAGCAAGAGAGCACATTAGTCAAAAAACAAGGTCAAGGACCGAGTCAGCGAGTTTCAACAACTTGTAAATCAGCCTAAGTTTACCCCACAGAAGACTCTGCAGATCAGCTGGAAGAACAGATTAAGGAAAAAAACAAATACCAGGAGGAGGAACTTCTTTTGCGACTCCTCTAACACTAAGAAGGTTAAACATGACTACAACACTATGCTCACAATTCCTGATGTATGAGAACACTGCATAACTCCCCACTCTTGCATGATTTACAGAAATCATGGAACATAATCCAAGTGTACTGTCTAGCTTGAACACACCAGTGTTCACATCACCACACCAACTCCAAACATGGCACTTAACAACTCCCTCCCAAATGCTACCGTGTTCTTACCAGAACAATCCTTGGAAGTTAAGTCCTTACTTTCCAATGCTTGGAAGTAAATTCCCTTGTGACAGGCACCATTTTCCAGTTACTGCGTATGCAGACAATTTCACTAGGACTTGTCAGTGCAGCGATGAAGTCAGCTGAGGGTGCAGGAGTCCAACTCATCCAAGACCATTAACATTGATAGGGTTTGAGGCAAACCACAAAAGCTGAAAAAACCTTGTTTCTGGTGACTTTTCTACTACACTGCGTTATTTTCTTATTTACAGCTTTGATGCCCACATAATGCTTTAAACCCACTACCAGAACCAGTGATTGTCACACAACAGTTAAGTAACAGCTGGTCATTCCAGGTTTCATATTCGTAAGTACAAAAATTATTTTTTAACTCTTCTAGCACAAACAACATAAACTGTAAGCCACTTGGCAAACTGACACTAAACAAAACTCTCAAGCAAAGGACGGATACCTACAGATAAAGCACAGACTGCCCGTTTCTTTTTTTCTTTCCTGAAAACCTCTCACATAGGTATGCTTGTTTTTTAAAGAAATACATCTCTTACTGGTTTTTTTTCTTTTTTAAAGTTAAGGGAAAGGTACAAAGAGTAAGAAATCAATATACAAAAGTCCTGGAACTATCAGAAAAAAAACCATGTTAACTCCACAGGGTGGGGATTTGTAGGAGTCGGGGTCAGTGAGCTGAAATGAGGAACCATTGGTGGGCAAAGCAGAACAAAGATTTACAAAGCTCTTGAATACTCCCACCTATGAGAAAACATCCATTTTAGGAAAAGACTGAACTGTTACAGGCGGTTAATAACGGCATTTAAACTGACAAGAAGCAGTACTGGAATTGTTTTCTTCCTGTAACCACGAACTTAACATTTTACTACCCAGATAAAACTGTATTTACTGAAACAGATCGTTCAAACCGACTTAACATTCAATCCAACACCATCAATCACTGAACTGTTCAATATGTGGAGACTTCACAATCCACGATCCATAGCTGTGTTGCTCTAAGTAGCTCTGCAGCAAGCTCTTAGCTTCTTGGTACAACTGAGATTTAATCTAAAAAAAGAGAAAGGAAGAACCTTGAAAAATCTCAAGAATTATGGTTACAGAGATCTGCATTCTTTACCACCAAACAGGTAATAAGCATGAACACAGTAAAAAATTACACCTCTCCCTGTGCCAGCTCACCTTTGCCTCGTGGTATGTTGCAAACTGGAGCAGATCACCCCGTCCTGCTTCCCCGGCGAGCATCCTGAAGCGGCTGAACATGGCGGCCTTGCACAGGCGGCTGGCCAGGCAGGTGCCGCTGCGGAACGGGGAGCTGCGGGCAGAGCGGGGCAACAGGGATGGAACTCGGGAACAAACTCGCTACAAGGAGACTGCTCTGATCGTTACAGGGGCTTTTTCCCTCCCTCCTAACACTCTGTGAATGCCATCACACTGGAATTCATCTCAATTAGAATCCACCCCAATTAGAATCCTAATTAGTTTTATGCATTGTGAAAGCGAAAACATTTTTTATACTACAGGCAATGGACTACAGGGCTCTCCAATCAGAGAACTGTTCTGTTTGGTGTCTTGGTATCTCACTGTGAACTTACAAGATCTCTAAAACTTCACCTAATCACAGGATGCTTTCAGCTAACACAGGAGAGAACTTCTCTCATGGTTAAGAGCTGAATACTCCCAATAAACCAGCACAAACCCATTATTTCCAACAAAATGAAGATAAATGTGGACCTTTCAGTGGTTTTCCCGCTTAATCCATCCACAACTTCCAGGGATGCATCTGACAATGTCCAATTCAAGCTAAGTGACCACTGGTTCAAATCTGTTTGGACTGGCAGTGCAGCTTTCACCAAGTAAATATGAGATCTGTTGACCAGGTAAGGCACAGGAAGCTTTGAAATAAGTTCATCATCAAGACGCTGCTTTATGGTTATGTCCAGTCCTTTTGTATCCTTACAAGTTCCACTTCCTAGTAAACAGGACAAGATCAGTCACATACAAGTGCATCAAATTAAGAAGCTAAAAATGCAGACATTTCTGCGTTCTTAATCTATTATAGTCGGTTTTTTCACGTAAAACTCATGTTTGTAAAGATCAGTTCCAAGATTCAATTCACAGAACAAAAATGATTTCCCACTTTCTTCTCTAGAGGCACTATTATTTTCATTGGATGCTTTCTTTTTTTTGAACCACTGTTTTTCACCAACTCTTTATGTTCCCTGCAGAAGACACCACCAAAACAGAACTTCAACCCTTCAGAATAAAAATATGCTGAGGAGTTTTCCCACATTACCTCACATCCAACAGCATTTCTGACTGCCTACTAAATAAATACACTCTGGTCCACTGCATCTCAAGGAACAACTCTGGAATTCTTCAAAGAGTTTGTGGCTTAGTTCATACTCTATAAAATGCAAACAAACTGTAATATGAAAACACACAAACTCCCCCCCACCTGGACTCTGCACTGAACGTACCCACAAGAATGTTGCTGATGTACACGGGTTCTATGAAGTGGCTCAGCAAGGCTCCCTGAAGACCAACCACCTCCCACTTGGTCAGCTTGTCACCAGCTGACATGCTGCTCACTCTGACAGTCTTGGGGGGACAGCAAACAGCCAGGTAAATCCTGCCTTCGAGAGCAACGTGCAGACTCAGCTCTTCACTGGCTTCGTAAGCAGACAGAGACTGGGGACCGAGATGCCTATGGCAGGACAAGAGAATGGATTTCAGTGAGAAAGCACTCTGACCAGAGATCACAGCAAGTGGCATCTCAATGCTGTTTCTCAAAAAAAAAATCATCAGTAGATCTAGGCCTTGTATTATCTTCAGTGTCTGCAATTCTTAGAAATACCAGACTGAGTGCCTAGAATACTGAAATCAGTATTTAAATAGGAAACAGCCACTTGATCTAATCTTAGCCACCAGTTGTGCACACATTAAAAAGATCAGCTGCAAACAAGCTGTCACTTTTTGTCTACTCGAACTGTAACAGAAGTTACTCATGAAAAGACAGCTGTAAGGTTCTTAAACTCTCCTTGAAAATGTACCTCACACTGTGATTCAAAATATTTAAACTACAAGATACAACACGTAAGGGAGACAAACCACTGGTTGTTCTGAAGCAGAACAGTTTTTCCCCTTAGTTACAAAGGGGTAAGACATCAAAGCAGAGCCTTTTGTTTCAATTCAAGGCTCTTTGTACTCCAATCTTGTAGTGCACAGGATGGCATTGAGTCACTACATCCACTTGCTCAGTGGTTAAATTTATGATTTAATATATTTTAACAGTATCCTGAGAAGGGGGTTAACAGGTTATTGTCTGTAATAAACAAAAGCTCATCCTATAACCCGTGTAGACGTTTTTGTATCATCACATTGAGCTGTATCTCATATTTATCACTACTACCCTGTACGTTAATATTCCCAAAACAAGATAATAACTAATCTTCACTTTATCTTGGGAAATGCCACAGTACTTACACCTCTGATTTTAACTGAGCAGTTCCTTTAGGAAGCTGGTTCATGTAGAGAGAGAGGGTTAAATTTTGCTTGAAGGTAAGCAGCTTCGAGCCTGGTACTGTGCAAAATATGGATCTCTCTGCCTTGGCTGGATTTTTGTTATAGAACAGCAAAAGATGCCTGTACAAGTATCTAAAAGAAAAATAAATTATATCTTACACAATGCAATGTAGATAGACGTTTACATTATTATGTATTATTTATCAGTTCGTACAGCCATAAAATTCAATTGCAGAAGTAAAGCTGCAATAAACTGGCTGCAAGGGAAGGATTTGCAGGGACATTCTCACCTGAGCAGGGAACGCCTGGCAGTGACAATGGCATGGCTGTCGTGCAGGAGCCTCCCACAGGACTCGAAGCGCCGGCTGTAGTTGCATTCTCCTGTCCCCAGAGCTACCACTTCATGCTGCCCACCTAAAACCACAGACGGCGGTAGGGTCACCTGGCCTGGCTGTGCCCACCAAGCTGCTCCCACGCTCTCAGTGCTTTGTGGGAACAGGTTTCCCACTCCCCAAAATTCACAGTCAAACCAGACTTGCCCTTTTCAATGATGAAGGCAGCCAGGGAACTGCCACAGCTTTGGTACTCAGTGTGTTGGGCAGTCAGGCGGTTGAACACTTCCTCAAGCATTTGTGAGAACTTTTGATAGATATGTTCTCCTCCTAAATGAAACAGCAGAATCCATCAAGACACAAATTCACAGGTAGGGGAAAAAAAAAGACTTGCCAAATTATAACCCTGAATGCATGGTGTAAGCACAACCACACGTACTTTCAGGATTCTGAAGATCCTCAGGATTAAATAAAGCTCAAGAACACCTTGATGCTTTTATCATCCATCATATTAACAACAGCTATAGCCCAAGTTTGATCACCTACTCTACACTGGCTCAAGCAAGGACAGAGAATCCTGTTTCTATTTCTATTACCTGGACTGGTGATAGAAATTCAAGCAATTTACTGAATCCAAGCAATTTACTCAAGTTGTGTCCTTTTGTAGAACCAGCCTAGTAATAGTTCTTAAAGCCTTCAAAAACATTTAAAACCACAGTAACAACATAGAAATCACAATGTATTAAAAGATGAAAAATTTTAAAAATAAACTATTTGCTGGGCAATTTGAACCAACAGAGGAAAAAATAGACCATTCCTTACCAGTCCTTGAAACACAAGCAGAGTTGGCTGGAGGTCGAAGCTCAGCAGGAACATAGGGAAAATCTAAGAATTTAACAACATTTTACAGTGGGATGGACATTCCTTATTTCTAAGCATGAATTTCACACTATTTCCAGCAAGTCAAACTTTCTAATTCTCTACTAATTTTATTTTCTGATTCTAAAGTCCTTGTAAGCTTCCAACGTTCAGACAGCAAAACTCAAAAGAAGATAAAATATTATGGCAACTGATCTCTGTTGAAAGCAGTATCTCAGTGGGGAACCCTTTTAGTCATCAAAACTCAAACCCACTTGAGATGTACTTCATGTTGCTGTACCTAATGAGTAGCAAATCAAGTGCCACAGGAACAAATTAATTCCTTTAGTATTCGTGGCATCAGCTATATATGTATTTGTTAAAACACAAATGACAAAAATAAAAAAAATTTCAGAACCAAACTACAGATTTTCCCCAAGGATTCAAAAAACCTGACAGAGGCTGATTTAATAAAACCACAGATATTTTGCATAGGACACTGTTAAGCCAACCATTTCAAGGTCCAATTACGTGTTGTTACAATATTTACCTGAATCTTCAAAAGACTTTTCCCCTGTACTTTCCAAGTTAAGTAGCTCAGCAAGAGCCAGTTTAGCTGCATTTAACTTCGATTCCTTCTTGTTCTTTCCCAGCCCAGTCTTGTAGCAAACACCATTTATCACAGCACAAAAGGCAAAATAAGGCCTTATGACATCGCCTTTAAAGGAGAAGAAAAAAAGCAGATGCAATCAGTGAAATTATTTTAAGGCACGTCATCCATATTTACATCCTTATACTAATTCCTAGAACAAATACAAGATAAAAAGGCAATTCTGGCAAAGTACAGCTCTTACCCCTCACCTCCCCAAAAAATTTTGCTGGCTTTTGCTTCAAGCAGTCTTCACAAAGTTCTGGTAACAGCAGTAACTAAACAAAATTCACCTGATCTACTTCTGTAGCACCTCATCACAAGAAACAGCTATGAAGGCAACAAAAGGGCAGCCAAACTCCAACATATGTGGGGGTAGTGCAATCAGCAGTAAAAAGTTTCAGCTGCATCAGCACCATCAAATCAACTCAGATAACCTCGAGGATAAGCAAATACTACTGAATTTGGTAGCAGAAGTATTTACCTGCCACACTCGTTTCTTTCAATTCAAGCTGCAGGTGGTGTATTTTGGCAAACAGATGCAAGGCAGACACTGGGTTTATTACTCCCTGTTTGTATCTTTCAATCAAATCCAGGTCCTTCTGTGAGGGAAGGGCTGAAAATGTGGTGTCGTCTGCTCCTTTAAAAAGAAAAGGTCCTTAAACAAAATTAAGGAGAGAACTGAACTCACAATGAAAGAGCTTGCAATAGATGCTTTTCAGATGCTTCTTAAAAAAGCAAACCAAAGTTTACTGTAGAGCATTACTGCTTTGTGCTGAACCCTACATTAGCAACAACAGCAATTCCAAAATGGTATGTACATCCTATTTTAAAAGCATCAGAGCTTTACTTTACTTTTACTTGTATTAAATCCAGTAATCTCTGAACACAGACAAGTATTAAAAAAAAAATACAACACATATCCCCCCCCTCCTGCCCCTTGTAAATCAACAATAATATCAAAGTTGCTAATGGCAGATACCATGCAGTGGAACCCGAGTTTTTTCCACACAAAGCTGTGCAGCAGTGGGACTCGCTGTTTTAAGACACTTTAAGAGTTTCAGTAACCACTGGATAGATAAAATCATCAGCTTCAGGGGTGTGATATACCCAAGCACAACCACTTCCCAGCCAAGAACTAAAATAAATCCTCACTTTTTAAGTGCCTTAACCTCAACACAACTACTTCAAAGTGACACAATTCAAAATACATCCTGGGACACCTCAAACTGTAATTAAAACCCTACATGACGTTATTTATGAAAATTCATGCAGCAGAACATATTCTGTATTTTGTCAATCTGCAGTACTTTTAATGTTTAACTTGAACTTTATAATTAGGTAATGCTGCAGACTCCACAGGTCACCCTACAGCAAATGGGTAACAAACTTCCAGCACAAAAAGACTTTAGAAGAGGAGGGACAAGCTTAAGGAGATGCTAAAGAAGTCATGTAACAAAATACAGCAAAGTTAGATAAGAAAAAGCAAAGTTACTTTTGACAGCATTAACAGCAAATCCCAGTGTATAAACTGCGAACTGTACCTAGATTTTTCATCACCCCGGGCTCACTGCACCTCATAGAAAGTGGAGGATTCAGCCTTGCAGTCACAGGCTCGGAGAGATCCTTTGAAATTGGCTGTCCGAGAACCTCGGGTGGTAAAATCTTCTCAGGTGCAAGGTTGAAGGTGAACATCGCTGCACCCTCAAAGCAGCCATTGCTGCTCGCCATTTCCGACCGACCTAAGGAAACTCAGCACCAAGGCTGCCAGTAGTAAAGACACCCTGCAAAAAAAAACCAAAACAACCAAGCCCACTGCAGTTCTCTTAGGTCAAGCTATTTCATAAGAACACAAGGAACAACTCACCCAGGGCTGGGGCAGAAGCCAGACCCAGTGTCCTTTCCCGCAGGGCGGTCACCTTTCCCTTTTATTAAACCACCTTCCCTCATGAGGAACACGGCTCTGCCCCTCGGAGGACACCCCAACTCCTCAAGCCACTCTTGAGGGAGTGAGGGGAGTCCAAGCAGCGAAGCTCATCCCTCTCCAGTTTCCAAAAAGAGCTGACGCTGGAGTTGAAGGGTTTATTACCTGCACCTGCTGCGCTCGTCCTGCTGTGGAGGGCTCCTCAGCGCTCACACCCCGCGGGCAGGCGGAGCACGCCCGAGGCCACACGAGGGTGGAGAAGCCGGGGAGCTGCGAGCCGCCCTGAGGCGATGGCCTCGGAGAGCCGAGCAGCCCAGACGCCTCAGCCCGCCGGGCCTTCAGTGCCGGGGCCGGCCCCTCAGAGCCCTTCCCGCCCTTTGCTGAGGGGCGCGGCCGAGGCGCGAAGCCGCAGCTGCGGCTGAGGGAGGAGCCGAGGGAGCAGCTGGGGCAGGGAGGCCGCCGCCCGCTTTTGTCCCTATGCGGCCGGCTCCGCTTCCATAGCGCTTCCCGGCCCCCTGCTCGCCTTCTCGGGCCGCTCCCAGCGGGCAGGGGCGGCAGCCGAAGCCGGCGAAGCACTGACCGGGAGCAGCCGCTTCCCCCATCCCAGCGAAAGCGGCGCGTCCCCGCTTCTTGGTCGGGGCGGCGCTTCCCGCCTTGCGGCTGCTTCCCGAGCCCCTGGCCTCTGGGCTTCACCTCACTTAAATCACACTCTGCAAAGTTACACTCTCTTCTTGTTGTTCAGCTTCCTTGATCAATACAAAAAAAGGGTCCTGTACAGTAGTTAAATTTTATTACAAGTGTAATAAACTTCATGATTTTTAGCACTAAGGCAATCACAGTTTCATAAGTTATATATATATATATATAATTTACACCAGTCTACATTGACAAATCAATTACTGGTCACATCAACAAGGGGTTTGTGTTATGGCAAGTAAAATTTTAAGAAAATTCACAGTTAATCTGCAAGTATTGTAAAGATGCAGGATCATATTGCACATCATAAAATGGACGCTGAGGAGCAGATTTACAGTGTTCCAGCTATTCCTTCCCAGAATATACATTGGTCGTCATCATCATCATCATAATCATGCAATAACTTCAAATACAGAATGGTATCAAGTACCACAGTAAACAGTTACTCACAATGTAAGTTTTAAATAGAGTAGCAAAAAGCTGTTAGGTTTCTCTTTAAACCATATTTAAGTTCTTAAAATATAATAAAACACTTTGATAAAATCAAATGGAGTTAGGGTTGTCACATTGTACTTTTAATATTCTTCTTTGTCTTTTCCTTTCTTTTCCTTTTCATCCTGTAGTGCAGTACCAAGTTTCTTTATAAGGACTGACAAAACTTTGTCCAAAGGATCCATGACACCACGCTGCAGCCACTTAGGGATAGTAGTCCTTGCGTGGTGAAAGCCCAGCTTTTGGAGGATGTAGTCAACACCAACAGGATCAATTTTTCTCCCAGTCCAGGATATTAATCTAAAAAAGCAATAAATAGACATCTCAGTCTCAAATATATAAATATAGGAAACAGGTATCTGTATATACAAAAAAATCCATTTTCGCCAGCGTTGCTTGTGACCAGCTTAAATCTAACAGGCATTGTTTTGAACTTAATTTAGACAGATAAGCTCAAGATGATCAATAGAACATCGTCTCAAAGGAAGAGTATGCTTAAGGAGGTGAAAAACCTGACTGATATCAATGAGTTTAAGTTTACTGCATCCTAATTCAGAAGAGCCTCTGACAATGCCTTTAATCTGCATAAATTCTAATCCAAAAATTAATGCATAGCAGAAGAGACTGCAGCTAAAGGTGCTTCCTACCTGAGCGTGGGTTCCAAATGCCAGGTATTGCACATAAACTCCCTCCAGTCAACTGTAGTGTAGGTAATGCTTTCCTCTGCCTCTTTGTCAGTGGAGCTGTCCTCAAGGACACCAACAGAGTTCTTCTGCCCTGGACGAGCAGCCAAAATGCGAGGAGGAAAAATTGCTACAAAGGGGAGAGAGGAGAAACACCAGTCAGTCACGAGCAGCTCACTTGGATTCTTTTTGTACACAGTTTAAATAAAACAAAAGCACAAGTCTCAGCAAAAAGAGAACTACCTGATGTTTCCAGAATTTCTGCAAAAGACCACATATTGCTGAAGAATGGACATGCCAAATTTAAATGCTGCAACTGAACATACTGAGGTAGAAAAGTAAATAATTCTGAAATCAGAAAAAATGCATGTCTTGAAAGGGATCCACCGATGAAAGCATTGCAATAACAATAAAACTTTCTAAAAGTTTTCATCTGCCTGTACTGTCTTATGAAGAGAAAGTAAAACACCAGGTGTCAAAATAGGAGCATGATTATGAGTTATAGTATTTATTGTCAAATGAATGCCAGATTGTCAGACAAGTGTTACTTCATGAATGACAACTCACCTTTTTCTTTTTCTTTTAGGTAAGCAGACACCAAGTCATGCAGAAACATGATCAGTTCAGCATCCATAGTCACACAGATGTGGTCTGTAAATTCAGTTACGACACTGCATTCCACCTTGGGTTTAACATTTGTATCTACAGTCAGATAAAAACAGTATTAATACACAAGTACATACAGTAAGTCTAAAAGTTCCTAGAATTTGAATGCAGATCATTTAAAAATAGTATTTCTTTCATTGAACCAGCAACTCTTGAGAAGAAGGACCAGAGTTAACATTTCAGTAAATATAAGGAAACCAACCCTATGAAAACAGTCAATATAGCTGAAATGTTCATATTAATTTCTCTTAGCAAGTTTTCTTTTATAGTGACCAGTGTCTGCACTAGATCTTCACTCTCTCAAAATAATTTCCTCTACATTTTACTACAAAATGTTATCTTTTCTTGCAGATCTGCAGCAATTCTCAGATTAAATCCTCTTATCAGCACACTACCTTTGCCTTTAACTCCTAATTGATGAGAAATAGTTTTCGACAAAGAAAAAAAAATAACTGATTATGTTTTACTGCACCTTGTAATGAAGGCTCCTGGGGCTCTTGAACATGAATAGATTTAAAATCCAGCTGCATCCTTGGCAATGCAAAAATGGTTTCAGTTTCATGGTTGTAACTGGAGCCACCCCTGAAGCCACTTAACAAGCTTGAGCTTTTCACTGTCGTGCTGCTCTCTGGGTTGTTGGCATCAACATTCCGAAGCAGGTTCAACTCTACAGGAACAATGAGACATGTTACATCACAACAAGGCAAAAAAATTAAGAAGAGTCACTTGTAAAACTGCTGCTGTATGATTACTGAGAAGATTTTTGTCTTTTATTCTGCTCCCAAAAGTATGGCTAGAAAAGGTCAATCAAGTTTGCTGTTTATACACTTGAGATTTAGCAGCTTTTCAACAGCTCCATCTGCAAGCAGATAATCCCCAGACTGAATGGACCTGACTCGAACCTTCATTCCTCGTGGCTGTCACGTAGTTGAACCACTCCTTCACACTGGCAACTCCATGGGGGGGATTTTCGTGGCGGCGCCGCGTTATCTTTGTGATGGTGGCCATGGGGCTTTCCAGGGCCCCACAGGGCTTGGTGACCATGGTGTTATGGCCCAAATGAAAGTCCAGGGTTTGCACAATGTACGTGGAGTGTTCACTGGTACCTGCATTGAAAGTGTGGGCACCGTGGGGTGGGAGAGGAAAAAAAAAAGGTAAAAGCAGCTTAGTGAGAGTAGTGGAATTTTCTCTCTTTCTTCTACATGTACTTAATATGAATAATTAGTGTGCCAGTGGAATAAAAGCTAGTGTAAAGCTTGCAAACAACAGAGAAATTAAATCCTCAGTAACCACAGACAATAAAATTTCACAATATTAACACAAATATGAGCAATAAGATCATCAAAATTCATCATGCAGCTAGAAAGAACAAATATGCACACACATAATTAAAAAGCCAGGCATCCACTTGATAGGCTCATCATCAGGATCATATCCAGTACATTTGAAAATGTACTTTGCATTATTCCAGAGATAAAGCAAATTGTGGTAAAGATGTGGAGGGAACAGATTATTTTTAGATAAGTAGTATATTTTTGGGAAATATTCTTGATTCAGACAAAGAAAATAAATTTTTCTTTGATTTCTTCCTATGTAATAATACATCATTAAAAACTCATTTAAAGAAATTTGGAGAAATGAGTAAACAGTTTAAATTACCATCTTCCAAAACTTTCTGGGCTTCAGTCCAAAATGCAATATTGGGTTCTTCCAGGTGAAATAAGGCCCATGATTTTGAGCGGAAATTAGGTCCATGAAAACAAGCCAGGGTCATATGGTTCCCGTGCAGGCTCATGGATCCTCCAAATTGCATCCCATCTTCTGGCAGTGGCATCTGGAACAGGGATATGTGGCACCCAGATACCACCTTCAGAACTCCTGGCCAGTGGCGATGATGGGCTGCATCCAACACTGCAGAGCAAACATGAACAACAAATCTCAGGCAAGATATGCCAGCAATTATTTCTGTATTTGTATTTTTAATAAAACATGGAATTATGAGTGATATTTTCTTATCTATTTCACTGACACTATCTCCTAGGTAATTTTTGCAATTAAAACATTTTAATTTGGGGAACATATTGATTTTGGGTTGCGCTTACATTGCTCGTGTGAGGTTTTCTCTAGGTTGTTTGCCATCGTCTTGGGAGGGAGATAAGGAACAGGCCCCCAGGTGGACAGAGCTCGCTTGCTTGTATCAAACTGCTGAGTGAAGAACTCCTGGAGTTTCATTCCTATTTTTATCAGGTCTGGTGTAGTTGACCTTGAAA